CCATCAGGCATGCACGATGCATGCTGTTCGTTTGCTAGAAAAAGCTGGCTCTCATACGTGGTGTCATATTCTACCCGGTATGCTGTCCAAGCGACTACTCGGTTCGATGGAGTACTTGGTCCGCGCGCGACTCCTGAGGGTACTCGAGGCCGCGTCGAGAGAGACCTCTCCACATGGGTGGTCCATTCTCCTTACGCATGCATTATATAAGTTCAGTAAAGTTCACACTAAGGATACACGGGAGCCCTGTGTCCGGCAGTCATCCAACGGAATTCGATAATTATATCCTAAACCGTTCTCTCACGCGTCCCTTCCTCGGGAGAGGAACTTCTTAGAAAGTCTACGAATAGGCTAGGATGCACGTAGGTGACTTTTCCCTTTTAGAATCTTAATTGATACTTGTTATTTGCAGACAGAAAGGGATAGACGGAAACTTTGATGATATTTTTAATAATCAATTAACAATGAGTAATCTTTAATTAACTAACTAAACCGCCCCTAGGCGAAGAGAAGAAGTTAGAAAACCTATGAATGTTAGCTACACCTGGATGATTTTTTTTCTTTTCGAATCTTGCTTCTTTTCTTTCGAATCTCAGAGACAAGGGAAGGAGTAATTTTGATTCGCACGTGCTATAACATCTCTCCTTAGTCGATTGGTGACGCAATTTTTATGTTTAAAAATGATTTATGGTATAGAGTGACTGATTGAAAGTTGATTGATTAATTAAAGTTTGAATATAGTACACGAAGTTTAAATAGTAATTTGAGTTTCATTATTTTCGAATTTAAAAATTAATAGCGCAGATGGAATCAAAATTAAATAAATAGTTTAAATCTTGTGTTTCGTGGTAAATATAAATAAGATGAAAATTGATTGAACTCTTAAACTCTGATGAAGGTTTTAAATTTAAATTTACATTAAACTGTGAATACTTGTGCAAATTTTAATTTTTGTGGATATAATTAAAGAAACGTAACCTAAGCAGAGATTTATTTCACCTGGATTTAGTTCATCAATGTTACACTAAACTGCGGATTTTCAAATTCATATTTTTATGAATATAATATAAAAAATGAAATATTTATATAAAATATAAAATAGAATATATATATATTATATATATATTATATATATATATATATATATATATATAAGAATTTTATTATTTTATTACAAT